TCCTTTGTCCACCCCGGGACAAGCCTTTTCTTCGACACCTGGTAGAGGGCATCGGCGGCCTGCTGGCGGGGTGTTCGAGTGGGCATTTGAGGTGCATTTATCGATAATACTCCTGTTTTCAAGTGCGCGATTGATTGATAAATCGTTGATTAGAGTAGCCGAGATGGCAGGTGACCGTACCTTGATTTGATCTTGCTTCGGTAGGAGATTGCCGAGGCGTTGCACCGAAGTTGCCGAATTCTCATTTCGCGATCAGGATCAAAGTTGATTCTCATTTCGCGTGCCGGCGCCGTGAAATAGAAACGAAATGAGATTGAAATGAAGTCGAAATAGAGTCGAAATAAGCTACTCTGAAAGTCCCTATTCCCAGATCTTCAAAGTAATGTTCAAATTTTTTTTCCCCTTGCATTCCGTTCAATTCCTGTTTTCCAGATGCCACAGCTGTCAATGAGAACGGTGATGGAATCCAGGTGCTGTTTGACATGATGGCACACGCAACTGATGGGTATGTTGTCTCAACTTTGACTCAGCTTCATTTCAGTTCTTATTATCGTAGTTCCAGTGGGGTTGGTGACCATGGCCAAACCGGCATCGAAACATTTCTCAAGAAGCACAAAGGTGTGACTCGTTGTGCTAATCTTCGCCTCAGTTGCGAGGGATTTGCTTTGGCTTCGGATCGGATACCAGATGATTCTGATGAAGACGATTAAATCCATTGAGCATGTAATTGGGTCCGTAGAATGCTCAAATTAATCTCTGCCTGAAAGTCCTGCGAAAATCAGTATTTATTTGACTGGAGAACAAGTATCAGTGGTCAAAGAAGGTTAAAGTGCGACTGGTCACGTAATATAGTCGCTATAATTGTACAGCACACGGGAAAACAGCTGGTACAGTCAAAGCTGTCTTAACCCATAGCTGTCCTAACCCATAATCTGTAACAAGCCGTGCCTTCGCTTCGCTCCGGCGTAGGGGGTTGACGCTTCAGAGTGGAAAAAAATAGTTTAATGGAGAAGTTGTTTTCTGTAGTTCGAAGTACACATCGCTATCTTAAGAACTATAGATCATCTCTGTCATCGCAGCTATCTTCCCGCAGTGCACCCATGACCAGCAACGCCAAATGGAAAAAAAATACCGAGTTTACTTCTGAACGGGGAATTTAATTAAGGTGAGTCCATTTTCTGTTGAGGCACAAGGAGAATATGAAAGGCGAAAGGGGTTTGCGCGTCCCCCGCCGATTGAACAGAACTTGGTAACGACGTCGGCGGCGATGGAATAAATCGAGTCGCTTAACGGGAACAATTATTGTGGCCACGCTGCACAACAACGAAAATGTTAGCCAAGAAATATACTGCTGGACTAAGAAACACCGTACCTTGAACACAGTGGGCCGGCTTGCGGAAAATCTCAAGATTCGGAAGGAGGAATTAACACCAGCATAGATGGAAAGGAGGTCACCGAAGACGCGTTGCCACAGTTGCGGGAGGCTGAAAACCCGAACGAATATAGTGGTAGCAACAGGGATGCGTAGACATATGATGCAATACGCAAGGTTTGAGCCTAGCAAGGTCGCTGAGTAAACCTGAATATCTATCCCAGCGGATCGTCAGCTGTAGAAACATATGAGACAGTGCCATACCAATTTCTGGTTCACAGAAACTCGGGGATGTGAATAACGGCGCGCGCTGGCCAATGTGAAGAAGGTCACGCCTGGGAAATCATTTGTCCGCGTAAGCAGTAAGATATAATGTATGGATCAAACGCACTTCGATGATAGTTTGGATATCTTACGGCCAACCATATCAGCAAAATGTAGAAACAAATGAGAGCCAGCATACTTGTGGGAACGTGAATAGAATTTGCGGCCGGCGCAGAGGAATGTAGAGAAGGTTGCATCGGGGAAATCGTGCGTGTCAGCAAATGATGTATGCGTGGAACACACCTCGGCACGTGAAGTAACTGGTTCCCGAGTCCAATCAATTAAGACCTATCGAGAGGATGAGACAATATGAATATCCCGATGCGAGCATAAGCAGCCCGGTGCAACCCACCTAGAAGGTCGTTCGGGGAAACATCAGAGACCATGGATATAGAACGGCGGGAGAGATGGGGGAGTGAGAACGGAAGAGGGAGGCGAAGTAGAGCAGCCCTTTGTTATAAAGCCCGGTCTGGAGATGCAGTCCAGGCGTTGATTGCTGGTAGAACTTGGAAGTAGATTGCGAACGAGCATTGCGTAGTCTTGACTCTTGGACTCTTCGGTCTTCACACTCGACGGATGTTGGGGATGGCTTGATTTGTGCAAAGACGGCCGTTGATCGCGGGAGGAGAGTGGCTGGATGCAACGATGATGGGGGAAAGGTAGTAGCAAGTGTTGAGCAGTGAGACGAAGGAATCCGGCATTGTGTAGTTCCTGGGGTTGCTGCTGGCCGCCTCTTGTTGAGAGCTTGATCCATCCGACGAAGGACATTCAGCAGCTTCTCGAGGGGAGAGAAAACTTCAGTGCGGTGGAAGAGCTTGATGCTTGTCATCTCTTGCTAAGTAAAATATGTCTGAAAAGAGCGACAGAATCTGGTGCGGCGGAGAGAGATGATGCGAGAAGGGAAGGAGGCGACAGAAAATGGACATCTCTTTTGAACGGAAGCAGAGCGGCTGATCAGCGAGGTCGAAAATAACATAGTGGAGCATCCAGCGGCCTGGACCGAAGCTAATTTCTGATGCACAGGTCACCGAAAATAAAATTGGGAATGGGACGCACATACGGGAACTGCTGACCAGTGGGGAAAATGGATGACTGCAAACAGGTGCATACTGATACGAGGGATCTGCTTAATACATGAGGTATACCCCATACTTTTTGGCCGGTTTTTGACTCATTTTTAGCAGGGATAACTCATAAATCTGCAGTAACCCGTAGCTTGGGACATCACTACATTTTGATGGCTCCTCGGCCAACTTGACCCGAGGTTGGCCGAGGGGCCTCGACCGGGTTTGTCATGATTTGCCCTTTTCACTCCTTCTCAACAACCCGGTTTCCCATCACTCATGTACAACCCGGGTTATTCCAGAATGTCTCACCGGGTTATTGTGTTGGTCTCACCTCCTTATTAACCCACCTTACTATTAACCCAGTCATCCCTTACCCCTTGTCTCACTCCTCTCTCCTACACTCCCCGCCCCTGGACTATACCCCCTTACTCGATCGACCCCTACTTGTCGGGGCCACCCCTCACCCCTTACCCCTTAGCGTCCGCAGTCACTCCTAGTCCCCTAAACCCCTTTATTTCGTAGTATATAAACCCTAAGTAGTTACTTACATTCCTTACACTATTCTAGTCTATTCTCCAGTGCTTAATTGACTGTGTTTCACCTATCCCTTGTATCGCCCAGTTGCCTACGTTGCAGTAAACCCTGCAGCGAGGCCCTGTGCTGGCAGGGTTGGTTGAACCCCTCGGCCAACCTCGACCAACCCGGTCAAGCCCCTCGGCCAACCTCAACCAACCCAGTCAAGCCCCTCGGCCAACCTCAACCAACCTCGGTCAAGTTGGCCGAGGGGCCATCAAAATGTAGTGCATCCACCGACCCCTATGGGTTAAGATAGCTTTGACTGTAGCTGCCACGCACAGCTCCACGTGATCGTGACGCAGATGGGAAAGTCCAGCCGGCACTTCGGGGATACCCGGATCGAAATGTCAATCTGCCAAACTCAACCTGAACCATCCCGCCTACCGTACCTTGAGGCGTGCAAAATATAAAAGTGTTCTGAGAACATTAGATTAGATACAGTTCTGATTACATTCTTCTCACCCTTGGTCGACAAACCAAACCTGATGACCTCATCTTATCTCCTCAACCTTACTAGCCCTTACCATCCTAGAGAGCCTTATCTTGTCTGAAATACATATAATGTGAGGCGACCTTATAATGTTCTTTCATCTTATCAGGACAATATAATCGGGCCGGTACCCTATGGCATTATCAGGCCTTATCAAGCCTTATCGGCTTTGGCCAGTTTTTCGGACATCAATTCAACCTACTGTAATCACTGCATTCAGACCCCCCTGTTTCTCCTTTTCTTCCTCTTTCCATTTCTCATTTTGAGCCCACAAACTTCGTTCCGAGTTTCTGACGCAATAGGCTTCCTCCACTAGGACCACTATGAAATTTGACTGAGTTAAGAGGTCATAGATCGCACACTGCAGAAATTGGCGATGTATATTCAACATCCTAACAAGGCTGCTACCGGCTCGGTGGTTGACAGTCTAGCCCCCCCAACTATGTCTCACTGCGTTCCGACCCCTTGTAGGCACACACTGTGTCTACGGGCGTAGACAAAACGTAGACAAACCTGTTCGCGTACATATGTCTACAGCATGTAGACACTCTTGGTGTACGTGAGTCTACATGTGTTTAGTATGCCTGTGTTTGTCTACAGCAGTAGGCCAATGTAGACGAGCATAGTGGGATGCAGACCGACATAATTGGGAAATAGCAAAGTCGAGGTCAATTTCAAGTTGGGGGAGACCAAGGTGTGTCTACGGCTGTCGACAAACGTAGGCGAAGCTAGGCGAAGTTTGTCTACGTGATGTAAGCTCACGTAGCCGAGCGGACACGAGTGTAGGCAATGCTGTGCCGATGTCGCCTTGCCTACCGCCATCGACGCACGTAGGCTTATTTTGACCCACGTAGCCGAGCGTAGACGAGCGTAGGCAAGGGTGTGTCTACAGGGGGGTGGAACGCAGTGTCTGAGTTGTATATTTAATTGGTGTGGAGGAACCACGCGTTCCACTCGGTCCGAGCCTTACTATTGTAGTCACGCTTTTTTTCTCTTTCTTTCTCTTCTTCCCAGCTCAAGTTCTGTCTAAATACAAGGTCAACAACACAACTCAACTTGAGTGCGTACTGCTTGATAAATTTGAACCCAATCTGTTTTTAACATCGGACCTCCTGGATCAATTTATTTGCACACAAGTTCAAGATCCAGTGCAGTATTAGAGGTAAGAATCGGCTCGGTGGTGGATGGTCCACACCTCCCACAATTACTGACTCATGCAAACGTTTCTGGAGGAGCAGCCCGTTCGACTCGGGCCCGGGCCATAATATCATCCAGCATCATCTTTCCTCCATTTGAAAACTTTGAATTCGAACTGAGTCTATTCTTGTCATAAGGTAGGGGACATACGCATCCATCGAGTCACGTGAACGTGACTGATGCGTGACAGTAACGTAGGAAAGCGCGAAATTTCGATTTGAAAAAATAAAAACACACTTTTTTTTTTATAGCTCTGGATGGTGAACAAAATAGCTAAAAGTTGGGCTCGCTCAGTAGTTGGACAACTTAAAAGTTGGGCTTGGTCAGTGGTTCAAAAGCCGGGCTCAGTCAGTGCTTAAATTGGGCTCGGTCAGTGGTTGGGTTTGGGCTCGGTCAGTAGTTGAAAGTTGGGCTTGGTCAGTGCTTTCGGTGGCAGGCTCGGTCAGTAGTTTTGATGCAGGCTCGGTCAGTGGTTCTTTTGGGGCACAATCATATTTATGAAGAAATATAGTTTGTCGGCTTAGATTTAGCAGGTGGTTTCACCAAAGACATAGCCAGAATGTTCTAGCTTTCAATGACAGCTCCTCTACACTTCCTTGAAGCATATTGTGTGAAACAGAGCTTCAAAGTTGGTACTGACATGAAGAACATCACAGAAATAAATATGTGATTAGTAAGCACGTGACCGTGTAATTTCCTTATATGGAAACGCGAAATTTTGGAAGAAAAAATACAAAACTGTCCCACCAGCATGCAAATGATGTTTCCAGCACATTTTGAAAAAACAGTGTAAAACATTTTATTGGAAACAAATATTGAAAATCTGAAACCACAGAATTGTTCCTAGAGTGAAACTGAAGCTTTCTGTGGTTTTGGTTTGTCTCTATACCCCGATGCTCCTGACTAGTAAGGGCGGGAAGTCGCTGTCACACTGTGAATCACGTGATTCGATGGATGCGTATGTCCCCTACCTTAGCTTCGCAGAGTCCAAAATCAACTCCTCTTTTGTGTCCCTAAATCCGAAAGAATAAGGCCTTCAACCGATAATTGAATCATCAGGCAAATCCAACACCCCAACAGACTGCATATCGGCTTGGTAGTGGAAGGTCCACACCTCCCAATGATAAATTTGATACAAGACATCTAATTGGCCTGGAGGAGCCGCCCGGCCGACTCGGGGCCGAGCCATATATCGTCGGTATTTTGGTTTTTTATTTTTTTTATTTCATCTTCGCCCAGTAAACCACTCTGGGTCCTCGTTCAAATTGCAATAATTGAACCATCAGGCATATACAACGCCCCAACAGATTACATATCGGCTCGGTAGTGGAAGGCCCACACCTTCCAATGATAAATCTGATACAAGACATCTAATTGGTCAGGAGGAGCCGCACGTTCGACTCGGGTCCGAGCCATATATATCTACTGCAAATCCATCGTTTTCCCCCATCTGAATCTGTCCCATCATCTCAAGATCCCAAGGCAAGGCAAAGTCAACCGAATCCGGGTGCAGTGATACAATTAACCGTTTCTGTGAACCTTGGTATCTCGAGCTCAAATCCGGGTTTCCATACATCTTTTTTAGCCGGAACTAATTTCAGCATCGAAACGGAATAGACATCGGCTCGGTGGTGGATGGTCCACGCCTCCCAACATTCGGGGAATTGCTTTTTAAATTGGTGCGGAGGAGTTGTCCGTTCGACTCGGGCCGAGCCATACTTGGAATAGTTGCCTGTTGAGGTTTTTCTGTTTTTCCAGGTGTCTAAATGTAAGGCCAACACAATATAAACTCAACTCGAGTGAAATTTGTGGAATTCGAAGCGAGTCTATTTTTATCATGGCTTCGCATCTGACGTCCAAAATATTTTATTTGTACATAGTCCACGCTTCCCAGCGGTAGATGAATTTCATCACGAAGTGGTGTGGAGGAACCGCCTGTTCGACTCGGGCCCGAGCCGTAGCTTCGAAGGAGTCACTCTTTTTTGCCCCTGCTGTATCTGGCGCATCATCTCAAGGGAAATTCATCTGAATCCAACTGCAGTGATACAGTTAAACGCTTTCGTGAGCCTTGTGTTATCTGGAGCTCAAGGCCGGTTTCACATATTTAGCGAAGTAAATTCAACATCGGAACGGCATAGATATCGGCTCGGTCGTGGACGGTCCAATCCTCCTCACAGTGAAGACTGTTATCAGTGGATATAATTGGTTTAGTAGGGACAGCCCGTTTGACTCGGGCCCCAGCCATTGGAAGAGGTCACTGAGTTTTTTCTTCTTCTTCCGCTTCTTCTCTTTGATTATACGTGAAGTCAGCCCCTGAAGAAGGTAGATATCGACTTCAAAAAGGACCCAAAGCGCTCATCAGAGCCAGATAATGGATGGAAAGCGGTGTACTCGAGTATATTGACATCATTACGAATACTACATTGCCATAATGGGAACCAGAACCTCAAGCGGCCATTCAGCAGTAGACTCGCCATTCGCAGCCCGCCGGTGGCCACCACCGGACGCACAGTTGCTGGCAAGTCTTGATTTTTTTTGGCGGTTATAGGGAAAGAAAATAAGGGGAGGAGTGGGAGGTGGGTATGACAATGAAATCAAAATAGAAAGGACCGAGGCACGCCGGACGGGGTATGAGTGCTGTAGAGGATGTAGATACTAGATAGGGCGGTTAATAAGGTAAGGTAAGGCGGGACGATAAGATGAGCGCCGGAGAACGAGCACGGTGGGGTATGTACGGTATCCCGAGTTATTGTGTAGCGTAAGATGCAGAGGAGCGAGGAATAGCAGCGAGAGCGTAAGTAGAAGCGGGCGGTTTGGACAGTGAAGACGCTCTGGGTACAACGCTCAAGTGCGCGCGCAAGAAGCAAACAGGGACAAGAGGGAAGGAACGCACCAGATGGTTATTGATCCGCAAGCGCGTTATACATCGTGGAGCAAGAACACAACGCACCAATGCACGTAATTGAGTTTCGTATAGTCCACGTTGGGGCCGAGGAGGGCGGTGAGCGGGGTCTCTTGGACGCGACGAGGAAGACGGCCCGGAGTTGCGCGAGGCCGAGTGTCCTCAGTATTATATCTCAATGGAACATTGGGAAGAAGTCAAGTGATTTCATTGAAAGAAATCGCCGAGGGGAGAGGAGAGAGAGGAGGAAGGAAAGACGGGGAAGGAAGGAAGAAGCAGGATTGGGGATGGGAAGACTGGAAGGGAAGAGAGAGGGGCTTTATGGTAACCAACATGATCTGCATTTTGTACTGGTGGAGGCCGTGAGCCAGGATGACAAAGACGAGAACAGCGCACACTTACTGGGCAAGGAATTAGATGATGCCTGCACTATGGGAGCGCGTGGTAAGAGAGCCGCAAAGCGACACAGGAGGTTTGTGCACGGCTCGATACACATGGCATGGCGCGGGACGGAATTAGAAAATGGAAATAGAGAAGCGAGAATATCGCACGTCCCGGCCTCTTCGAAATCTTTTAGCTTGCGAATAGTCCAGGGAACATTCCCCAGCCTTTGAGTCGAATCCTTGAATCATGGCTTTAAATCGGCATGGAAAACTGCGAGAGAAAGGCAGCACACTTCACGGACGTATACCAGGCCAGAGAGTTCACTTTTTGGCTTGCAAAAGTGGCTTGCGCCCGCGCCAATTGGCTTGTTTCGGGCGTGGGCGTGGATTTTGGTGGCATCACCCGCCCACGCCCGGTATTTCGGCTTGCAAGCCATTTTGTTGGCTTGGCAAGCCATTTCGCCAGCCTGCCATCAGCAAAGTGGCTTGCGCTCACTGCTCATTATCTAGCATTCAAGAGTTATATCTGATATGCTAGATACATTACTATATGCCCCCCGCAGGTATGTGGGACATCATTTATTGCATAATTTTAATATTTGAGAAATTCTTGTCAACGCCGAGAGAGATGATGAGGGCAACTCATGCCCCATATGCAAGCCAGCGGGCTTGTTAGGCTTCACTGATAGACTAGACTTCCGAACATGGACTTGCATTGAAAATGAAGGAAGAATTGTCCGTCTTGCAACGATATTCACACGATCAGTATCCCACTCACTTGACTTCGTGAACCACATGTGTCCAACTGCTTCGAACCGAAATTCGAGCGGATTCCATCCCAAACAGGCTTCAGATACTCGAATAGAGTTCTAGAAAGCCTCTGTACAGCAAATATTAGGCGATGGTTGTCGGGAGTTGACATGGGTTGTACTACGGTTGACTGCAACCAACCGAATGACCATAAATAGTCAATTCTGTGATGGAAACTGTCCCAATGAACATATTGAAGTGCGGTGGGGTAGTCTCGGCTCTAGGATGTGCCCGGAATCCGACCTTTTCCTTCGGCAACAAAGTGGCTTGCGCAAGCCATTTTGTCTGATGCCATCAAAACGGGCGTGGGCACGGCTTGCGACGAAAGGTCGAGTAGTTCGCATTATAATGAGGTCGATACTGTTGCAGGCGTATATCATTTACTTGATCCTAGCATTTTGCAGCGATATATTACTGAATCGACGCCAGGTTGAGTGAAGTTGAACATGGTTATTGCCATCACAAGCCATTTTGTCTGATGCCATCAAACGGGCAGGGGCGTGTGGCTTGCGAAGAAAATTAGTTAATTATGGGAAGGCGTGGGTGTAGAAATCATTGGAAACCATTACTTTATGCATGCAATGTTGTTCTATACACCCAAGGAATTTTTGTATGTCCTTGCTCATCCCCGCAAACAAAATGGCGTGCGCAAGCCATTTTGTCAAACAGGCGTGTGTGGCTTGAGATTAATTAAATGTAGGAAAGTGTATATACACTGAGTCAACTTTTATTCGTGACGACTTCTAGGCATGGTCATGAGTCGGATGTCGGCTCAAACAGACTGGCGTGTGCTCAAGCCAAGTGCGCTGCTGGCATGCCACGACAACTGATCATAAATTGTTTTCTGTGCTTTGTGGAAGTTGCTTGGTGTATTGGATCATGTCTGCCGAAGAATGAATGACTGCAGGGACAGGCATTATCTTAAATTTACTCATCACTCTCCCAGAAGTTGTTGGCTTGTGTCGGGCTT